TGTATGTATATATACATACAGAAAGAAGCAGAGACACCATAAGAAAAACGTGTAAAAGCATTTCTTAAAAGTTTATTTTTGAAAATTAATATGCTTGGTGTACATTCAGACTGATTATCCCACTCACATGGTTCTTCCGAACCTGTAAAATCTGCTCTCATTACATTACATGGACATAAGTAATCATAATAAACGTCCAGTCGGAATAAAAATGCATCAAACTCCCCAATAAGAATGTTCGGATCTGATTCAGCTCACTTGAAATGAAATTAAAATCCAAATGAGAGGAGTGTTTTATGCCGATAATCCAAATGACATGCATGTACTTATTCTGGTAGTGGGAAACTGACCCGACTTTGTGTCCATTGTCAACCTGAGGTATTCCCACCAGGCAAGATGCCAACAGGTGGAGGAAGCAAATTTRGTAGATTAGTGATACAACATTTCTATTCAAAGCTTTGAACAAGCGCAAAATTATTGAACACCTYGTAAGAACGCCTCTACTTTTRTTAAAACCTGGTGCAGGTCCATTCTGGGCACTCAGAAGATGTTTTTTATGTTCACCACGGAAGTTGAGTGTTTTTATAGGAAAAATTTACAATTTTGCGCATGTCAGTACTTCTACTCTGAATAAAARCCTGGTGCATGTAAACGCTYGTCATGATTGGATTATTTAATTTTGTGCCCATAYAAWYAAKATGGGCACGAATGTTATTATTCTATTGTAGTCAGTATTTTCCCACTAGGTCCCTTAGATGGCAGTCCCCTGCTAGATACACAAGGGTTCTTGGTACCTCAGTGGTTTCGTCAGGAAGGTGCAAAAAGGTGTATTGGATTATTTAATCTGAATGCATTTCAATCCAATCAATTTTGGTGCATGAAAACAGCTCGTGTCACAGTTGGGTGACGAAAATTGCGTTATTTTGTTCTCAGCTTCGTGTCGCCCCGCCCCTTCTAGTCACAACTCTCTGGGCCAAACTTTTTTCTCTCTCGTATGAAATTATTCAGTGATTGGACAGAAGTTAGTGGGTGTGCTTGTTCATGCTGAAAACAGTGCTCAGATAGCAATGGCGATGTTTTGCTTCAACCCTCTTCCAGAAGTCAACTTTTGTATCTGGAAGAGGACAATTATCAAATGAATAAAACCTCATGGATGGAGATCACACAGATGTCCACAGAAGAATCAATCAGCCAAAGGCTAGCGGGAAGAAACCTGTACAACGATGGGTACAGCAACGAGAAGGGTTTCCCAGAAACAGGGCGCCGTGTGTCTCATGGGTTATGAAACATACATATGAAAACAAACGTAGAGTGATTATAAGTCAACTATTTGTCTTTAAATGGAGCATGCTTGGGTCCTTTGACTGTCATGTCAACTTTCAATTTGGATGAGAGAATAATTGCAGACCAAACAAATGGTACACTTTATACGGGACAGTAGAGTTTTAAAATTAGCTAATGTAGCATTATTTTACACCAGTACGTCCTTCTTCAAGAAGGAATTGTTTTCTAAGCCTAAAAAGTGATATGAGACCCTTGATTGGCTAGCCATTAGCCTAGCTTCCTCTATTCTCTTTGACTGATATCAAAGCTGATAAGGCACTGATAAATACAGTATTTGACAAACCATTAATCYAAAGCTAATTAGAGTTTTCATTTAAGCCCAAACTCAAATCATAAAGAAAATACAAGAAGACCCTCTAGCCCCTGGTGCATTTTTTAACATCACAGTTGGCAGTGATAAAATAATTCACTTAAAAATTGGGACACCATTTCAAATAGCTGATACTTCAGAGGATATAGTATTAGTAATACTATTACTAATAATAAATCTATGAAATATTTAGTACTATTTAGTTTAGTATTCAATTATAGTCAGTATTTTCCCATTAGCTCCCATATGGAAGCCCCCTGCTAGATGCACAAGGGTCTTGGTACCTCAGTGGTTGTGTCAGGAAGGTGGAACAACAATTGCCAAATCTTCATGTGAGTTAGCTCGCTGTGGCAACACCAAAAGAAGGGAGCAGCTGAAAGAAAAAAAAATACATCACTCATGACCGTAGGTCCACTCATGGACCAATGACAGCTTTGCCTTGGTTTTCTTTTTCACCATGATGGCAACATCCCTATTACTGCAGACCTTCATCCATTGATCCAACCTACTATCACCCTTGAACAAGAAGTTCAGACTGTTTTACTCCTCCACTTGAGCCTAGACTCACCACCGAGCTGTGGGGATCACTCCAGCCTTTTACTATTAAGAAACATGGTCTCAGACCTATTGTATTCAATATGTTCTATTAATAGATTATATGGGTTCTAGCCACTTGTAATGCTTTTTTGAAATTTTGTAGGTATTTCAATGAGAAAAAAAAGTACAGTCCGTAGTTCCGAAGACACAGTTTCGTAATATAGATCTGACGTATTCTTTAATGCATACGGAAAAACATTCTGTTTATTGTCAAAATGAAAAAAAGTCTCATTCTAAGACTTTTAAATACAAGTTTGAAATTGAAAACTGCAGCTTTAATAAATCAGAACAACCTCCCCCAGTGGGGTGAGAGAGGTCCCCCCTCATCCACCAATTGATGATCACTGTGATGCATCATTACTTGTTGTTGATTACTTTTTTGCAAACAGGCTAATATCACTACTCCACAAACATTATTCTAAAATGCATTTGTCTGTCGTGTTAGCAATATATATACATATA